GCCCTCGTCGCCCGCTCTGCCGTCATTCTCTCCCGTGTTGGCGCCGCCGGCTCCTGTTCTCATTGCACCGCAACGCCCACATACTCGCAGCCGCAGCGGTATTGTCAAACCCAAGCAGCGTCATGATGGTACTGTTACATATTTGGCTGCCTGTCTTGCTCATTCTTTTGCAGATCCCACTGATGCACCACGCCACTATGAGGTTGCTATGAGTATCCCTCACTGGCGGGCAGCTATGGAGCAAGAATACAACGCTCTTCTGCATAATGAGACATGGACATTGGTTCCTCCTCCGCCTCGTGTCAACGTCATTGATTCGAAGTGGGTTTTCAAAGTCAATAGACATGCGGACGGGTCTATTGAGCGCTACAAGGCGCGTCTCGTGGCTAGAGGGTTTAAGCAGCGACAAGGTCTGGACTACGAGGACACATTCAGCCCGGTTGTTAAACCTACTACCATCCGGCTTCTTTTGTCTCTTGCAGTCTCTCGTGGTTGGTCTCTTCGACAGCTTGATGTGCAAAATGCTTTTCTCCATGGGTTGCTTGAAGAGGAGGTTTACATGCGGCAGCCACCAGGGTTTGTTGATCTAGATCAGCCTCATCATCTCTATCGTCTGACGAAGGCGCTCTACGGACTGAAACAGGCACCTCGTGCCTGGCATGCTCGTCTTGCTTCGGCCCTTCGTACTCATGGATTCGTTCCGTCGATAGCTGACAGTTCGCTGTTCTTATTTCAGCGCCCCAGTCTGACTGTGTATTTGCTTGTGTACGTGGATGATATAATTCTGGTCAGTTCTTCTACCACGGCTGCTGATGCTCTTGTGACTGCTCTTGGCAGAGATTTTGCGGTTAAAGACTTGGGACAGCTACACTTCTTTCTGGGCATTGAGGTTGCACATTAGTCTCGTGGCAGCTTGGCTCTCACTCAGAAAAAGTACTCCCTTGATCTCTTGCGCCGTGCTGGTATGCTCAAGTGTAAGCCGTCACCCATGCCCATGTCCTCTACGGATAAGCTCTCGGCCACTGCTGGTTCTCCTCTTTCTTCTACGGATGCTACGAAGTATCAGAGTATTGTTGGTGGCTTGCAGTATCTGACTATCACCCGTCCTGATCTTTCATTTGCAGTTAACAGGGTATGTCAGTATCTTCATGCTCCTACAGATGTGCACTGGTCTGCTGTGAGCGCATTCTTCGTTATGTGCGTCTCACTGTCTCCTATGGTCTTCATCTGCGACCTAGTTCCTCTACTGTTCTCTCTGCATTCTCAGATGCTGATTGGGCTGGGTGTCCAGATGACAGACGATCCACGGGGGGACATGCTGTATTTCTGGGTCCTAATTTGATCGCCTGGAGTGCGCGCAAGCAAGCCACTGTTTCTCGCAGCAGCACAAAGGCTGAGTACAAAGCAGTTGCCAATGCGACTGCTGAGCTTATCTGGATTGAGTCTTTGCTTCGAGAGCTGGGAATCGCCCAGTCACATCCTCCAGTTCTTTGGTGTGACAACATCGGTGCTACGTTTCTTTCAACAAATCCGGTGTTCCATGCACGAACCAAGCACATTGAGATTGACTATCATTTTGTGAGGGAACGTGTTGCACAGAAGCTACTAGAGATCAAGTTTATCTCCTCAAAGGATCAACTTGCCGACATCTTCACCAAGCCTCTACCTTCTCCCATGTTTGAGGTCTGTAGGCGCAATCTCAACCTCCTAGATGCATCAGGAGTGAGTTGAGATTGAGGGAGGGTGTTAGACTTTGTAACGTAGTCCAACTGTGTAATATGTATATTGTGTATCATTATAAATATATGTGATAGGCCACCCCTAGAGGGTTGAGCCAGTTCCCACAAATCCTACGTCTGATAGTAAGACACATTGCTCAAGTTCTGCAACAAATCACATAAGAGTCGCACTGGTTGGAACAGTCTGTCTTGTTCGATGCAGTGCAGGATCGAATACTGCAGTGTTCTATTTTTCTGTTTTATTAATTCTGTTTATACTTCCCAAAGATTCAAAATATATATTTCCAAATACACTTTACATAATATATTTGAAAAAAATGTTAATCTACAATTTGAAAGAATTAAATGAGTATAAGAACAAGTTTCTCATGTATATGGAAAATATATACACGGTGTCTTAAAAAAGGTGACCATTCATTTAAGAAATGTTTATTAATCATCTAAAAAATGTTAATATATAAAAATAGTAATCAAGCATTTAATAAGTGTTAACGTGTGTAGAAAAAATGTTTTTCATGTATACGGAAAATGTATATAAAAAGTATACAATGTGCATGAAAAAATGTTGATCATGCATTAATAAAATGTTAAACATGTATACATAAATGTTCCTAATGTGTATAATAATTATAAAATATGTCTGCAGCAAAGTAGACATCAAAATATATATTTCACATACGCTAATCTTGTATTTACAAAATTACAAATGTGTGTATAAAAATCTTTCTTTTTTATAGAAGAAATGCAGAATTGTAAGATAAAATGTTGAGATAAGAAATATATGTCTAAAACAATGTTCAATGTTTACATAGGTAATTTTTCTTGTATTCGAATAAAATGTTAAACATGAATAACTTTTTCCCTATTCTATACGATAAGAGAAAGAACAAACTAAAGACAAAAAATACCAAGGAAACCCGAAAAAGAAACGAACGAAGCGAAAGAAAAAAATAAGAAAAAATGAAAAGAAAGAAATAAAAACCTGTGAAAACCAAGAAAAGAAACAAAGCAGCCAAACAAATAATTGGAAGAAAGAAGGATTTTTTTGTGATATACTGTATGAGAAAATAACGAAGAAAACGGTTGAAAAAGCAAAGAAACCTAAAAAAAAGAGAAAAAAAACACAAAAACCGGGCCGAACCATCAGCAGCCAACCCCACCGAGTGCACAAGTGGTGGTACAGGAGGAGAAGAATTGGGCCGGCCCAACGAAAGTGTAAAGAGACAAATCTATATATGTTTTGCGTGGTAATGACAGGCCCGCTATAAGTGAGATATAGGTTTGACTGCGACCCCGAATGGCTCGCTGAAGGGAGGAGGAACTAGGCCAGCCCAGTAAACTGCTACCACGCCGTGGTGATGTCATACATGTTTTTTCGTTTTTTCTTCCTATTTTTATTTTATTTTTTATTTTTCATTTCTTTATATTTTGAAATATATTTAATATATAATCTTGCATTTAGAAAATATTAATCTTGCATTTTATAAATGTGAAACATGTATAGAAAAATGTTTCTGTTGTACAGGAAAAATGTATAAATGTGATTGCAAAAACGATTTTTTTAATCATATGTAAGAAAATGTTTGTGACAATTGTTAAATGTTGCATATTTCAAAATAAATGTATGTGACACTTAAAAAAAATTAGACACATGTAAAAAATGTTCATGTAATGGAAAAAATGTTTCGAACATTACATTTTTGAAAAATCTTAAGAAGTTTCGAAAAGTGTTCATGAATTTTTCTTAAAATGTCGCTACAATGCAAAACATGTTTGAATAGCTCACAATTTATCGTTAAAAAAGGATTCAACATTTATTTAAAAACATTTTAACACTTATTTGAACAAGTGTTGAGAAAATAAAAACCGACAAAGAAACAAAATGAAAAGGAAAGATACAAAAAAAACCAAAGATTGAAACAAAGAAAATCAAAGTATATAGAAGAAAGAAAGAAATTTCAATGAAATATCCAAGGAAATCAAAAGCAGAATAAAGAGATAAGAAAAACCAGCAAAAACAAGCAAAACCATAGAAAAAAAACAATAGCTTCTATAAATTTAAAATATTATTTATTAGTTTGATTGATGTGATGCATCGGATGCAACCATTGAGACATATTTGCTCCATTATTATTATTCTCTTTTAAGGCTATATTGATTTGCTTTTCTAAAACTTGCACCGTCAAAGTTGACACTCTAATACAATATTTATTTCAATTTAGGAATTCATAATTGTAGAAATAGTTTTGCTTCCTAGGCATGCCTTGGTTTGAAACTGTAATCTGCTCAGGTCATGACGGCAATAACATAGCTGTATTGCTACATTTGAAACCCGTGTTTGACATATTTCAACCGACTGCTCTAGCACCAGTTCCATGAAATGATGATTTGTGGGATTACTAGCGTTTTGTTCAAATGGATACTTGTGAAATGCCCGTTATTGTTTTGTGAATGCATGAGTGAGGATATGGATTATTGTTCAGGTTGTTTCACATGCATTTCCCGTGGCTTGCCAGGAAAAGGTACTAGTTCTAAAAATCAATATCATGGGTTGTTTCTACAAAACAATCGATTATATTAACGAGTTGCAATGAGTCCCTGAATGGTCATGATCCATATCAGTGCGGCCGTATGTCATAACAAGAATACAGACTTACATCCGAGCATAAATGGAGTGTATGTTTCTTATAGGCATTTCTTACTCCATAGATGATTGTAGAACAACATACTCCTATATTTGTAATGAAACCAAACATCGACAGACGTGATATAGGTATATCCTGATTAATTAATTTATTTTCCCCAGTCGGAGTAGTAGCACTAGCAGCTAGACTCTAATAGATGGTTCGACCGCCGTCGATACAAATAACCTGGCCAGTGATATAGGACGCCGTGGGCATACAGAGGAAGGACACCACTGAAGCGACCTCCGTTGGCTTGCCGCTCCGCCCCATCGGGATCCGCGAGCATGCTTGCTCGAGGGCATCCGGCTCTAACTGTTGCATCCACAACAACCAAAGTATATATGTCAGTACCAAAATAAAAGTTACATAAGTATGAAATATTTTAACAATAAATCAGTTGATATATCTGACTGATCTCAGTAATTGCTGGGTATTTATAGGACATCGTATACTTGGAGCAAGGCTATCCAAAGACCAAATGGAGTCACAATACGATCTCAACACCTACATCTTTGATCATGTCTGTCGACACAATGCCTGGGGCAACGGAGTTCACACGAATATTGTCTCTAGCCCACTAAGTGGCGAGGCTCCTTGTAAATTGGTTCATTCCTCCTGCGTGTGAGCCAGCATGTATAAATGAGAAACAAAAACCAAACAAGAGGTTAGGCCACATTTATTTGCATGTATTCCATAAGCTTGTTTATCTTGTCAGGCGCATATGTACCTTTTGTGATGCCATAAAGTGCGAGGCCTGGGTAGCCAAATATACCTCCAACAGAGGAGATGTTGACGATGCTACCTCCTCCAAGTATAGAGGCGTTGATGAGTAGAGGGTGCGCGAGCTGACTAAGGTGGAAGTTTGACTCTAAGTTAGTCTCCATCAATTGTGCGTAGTCGTCCGCCGTCCACTCTATAGCCGCTTTTAAAACCAATTGCCCTGCATTGTTCACCTATGTTGTCGACATGCATGGGTTAAGAAAGTTTCATAGATTCAGTGGATCTTTTTTGAGATTTTCAATTACTCCTTCACTTGAGATATTCCATTTATTAAGTGAAGTTTTTAACCAGCAATAGGCAATATTATTAATATTTGTTTTATCTAATACACAAAATTGAGGTTGTTAGCTTCATGCTGAGAAATACGTAACTAATTAAAAATACAATTTATATCACACCAATAAGATACTAATCAAGTAATTTGTTGGCTGAAGTCTTGTCTTAGGCATCTACTATAAATGTGAGTTCATCTCCAGACTGTATTTTTTTTGTCCGTTTGAAATTGCTTTTACCACGCTTACCACATGGTATGTACAGACTGTATTTAGCATGAGATACAATACTCTTTCTCCATCCATTCAATATCACCTTAGCAAAAATTCTGGCATGGTGAATCTAAGAAACTACAGAAGGTTGATCATTTGGAGTGCTCTATATTAAACAAAATAAACCTGGACATGGGAAGCCTAGCCCAACGGCGCGAACCTGGAGCTCGATGGCCGGTCTGGGTTTGGTCGAGTTTTGCCGGGAACCAAAAGCCCAAACTACCTTAAAAATAGGGGTTTAATAAAAATATAGCCGAAATCACTAGTTAAGGAGTACTCCTTGCGGAGATCACTTCAACTTTCCCAGGTTGCGACAAGTGGCGTACTGCATGTGCGTCACTTGTCGCAACCTGGAAGTTTTCCCTTTTTTGGTAGGTCCGTTTATTCAAAATATTTTGTCTCTTAAACCGTGCGTCCAAATCTCGAACCGCTTTCGCCGTTGGATTCCTGGTATCGAGATCTTCAAAACTAGATCCCATATTGATAGGTTTTGACGAAGTTTCTTTTTCACGAAAAAAATGGACGAAAAAACCGAACCGGGAGCATGGGTTTTTTCCCATTCCGAAAGAGGCACGCCCGTGCCTCTGATGAAATCACAACCGTGCCTCTCACGGAAGCAAAACCGTGCCTCTCGCGGAAGAAGAAACACAGAAAACGCATTTTTTTCCATTTCCGAGGAGGCACGGCCGTGACTCTCGTTAAAGCACAATCGTGCCTCTCGCAGAAGCAAAACCGTGCCTCTCGTGAAAGAAAAAAAAACAGAAAATGTGTTTTTTTTCGTTTCCAAGAGGCACGGCCGTGACTCTCGCGAAAGCACAACCGTACCTCTCGCGAAAGAAAAAAAAACAGAAAACGCGTTTTTTTTCCGTTTCCAAGAGGCACGGCCGTGCCTCTCGCAAAAGCACAACCGTGCCTCTCACGGAAACAAGACCGTGACTTTCGCGAAAAAGAGATGCGTTTTTTTGCGCAATTTTTTTTTGAAATTTTTTTGGTCGAAAAGCTAGGGAAGACATGTGGAAAACCTAAATGTAAAAAAAACCATTTAAAAAGTGAAAAACCCATGCGAAAAAAATAAATCCGAAGGAAGCGTCCAAAGCGCGACACGTGGCGAATGACTGAGAGCGTGTCAAGTGGCGTTGATCATTGCGAGGCTCGTGAAGGAGCACTTATTAATTAGTTGCTCCCAAATATAGCTATACACCAAAAACGATTAACATAATACCATTATTCAATAAAAAAAATGCACCATTTAATTGTTTCCGGCCATGGCGGGTCGGGTTCATGTTTTGGGGTTGGACTTTTCCAAGCCCGGCCCAAGAAATGCCCAAGTTTAAATGAAAATGCTCCAAATGATGAAGTTTTTTTGTTGTTGCATACGTGAGTATGATTTGACATGGTCCTCGCGGCATACATTAATGAATCAAATTACCTCGATGGAGCAACCAATGGTAATTACTAGGCCAGAGCTTACCAGTATGTCCAGCTTGCCGTCGAAGGAGTCCCTGACAGTCTCCATGAGCTTCACCCTCTCAGCGCGCACAGAGACGTCGCACACAGAGACGGTGACCGCCAGCTTCTCCTCCTCCCACTGCCGGCGGCACTCTTCCAGCTCCGCCGCGTTGCGGGAGCACGTGTGCACCCGCGCCCCGAAGCCGGCGAGCTCCTCCACGATGGCGCGCCTACACATGAGTCGAGCACGATGGCCAGCGAGTAAGTAACACGCTCGAAAACTCAAGAAAGACGTGTATTAGGTACCCTATTCCTTTGCTGCCGCCGGTGACGAGCGCCGTCGCGCCGGCCAGGCTCCACCTCTTCTCCCTGCTCGTCGTCATACCTCCTCCCCCGCCGCCGGTGACAAATTGGATGTAGGATGCCGTTGTGATTGTGTGTGCGTACATATACTCTGGCCAGATCTACATTGTTGTTGAGGTGACGAGTCTTAAATTAGCGGTGCAAGACTAGTTCCTGCCGTGCTAGGCCAAGAACATGTACCTGTATAAACTAAGTACTCCCTCTGTAAACTAATATAAGAGCGTTTAGATCACTATTTTAGTATTCTAAACGCTCTTATATTAGTTTACGGAGGGAGTAGTAACTAGCGGGTATAATATTATAGAGCAGGCCATCAATTAGAATTTTGCTGTTGTTGGCTGGTGTTAGACACTACCGGACTCGCGGTCTATGCCTACGGCCAAGGGCCGTCGGCATAGGCCCCCAAGCCGTCGGCATAGGTCTATGCCTACGGCTGCCGTCGGCATAGACCCGTCGGCGTAGATGCCGTCAGCGTAGTCTTGTCAGACCGTCGGCATAGTAAAGCCGTCGGCATAGGGGCCTATGCCGACGGTCTAGCGTCAGCCGTCGGCATAGTATAGCCGTCGGCAGTCTTTTTCGTCTGACGGCAACGGATGGCGCCGTCAAAAACGCGGACGAATCATGCAATGCCACGTGGCAGGGCTATGCATACGGCAAAGCCGTAGGCATAGATGAATCTATGCCGACGGCTTTGCCGTAGGCATAGCCCTGCCACGTGTCGTCTTCTGGTTACTCCTGGCAGCAGAGGTATGCCTACGGCTTTGCCGTCGGCATAGATTTTCATCTATGCCTACGGCAAAGCCGTCGGCATAGATCCGCCACGTGGCGAGCCCTGATGACTCCTGGGCTTATATATGCCGACGGCTTTGCCGTAGGCATAGTTTTTTTTTCCCTGTTTTCTCTTTTCCAATTCATTTGACAGCATTTCAAAACAGAACAATATGAAATTATGCAGAAATATGACAGTTCATCATCTAAACATACTCAAGTTCACCATCATCATCTAAACATACTCAAGTTCATCACATCATCTAAAGATCATCACCGACTCAAGTTCATGAACATAAAAGTAGTGCAAGACATGAAACATCATAAAAGTAGGAATATGAAAGGCATGGCACGACGGCCACATGCACGGAATCATCAAGCAAGACCACCTCCGCCAAAACCACCACCTCCGCCAAAACCAACACCACCTCCGCCAAAACTGCCATCGCGACCACCACCACTCTGCCAGATCGGAGTGACTGGGGTCGACGGAGCAGGAGCCGAGCCACCGGTCCCCTACATGTTTCAGAAAAGATTCTAACAGTAAATATGATATGATAGTGTTGAATGAACGAGAACTAGTTTGTCAGTAGTTAGGCAAATGTACTAACCGGACCATCACTGCCTAGTGCCACCCATTCATCGAACGTGGGCACGTGTGGGGGTTCTCCCGCAGGTGGTGGTGGGGGTCCCATTTGTGGTGGACCCGTGCCGTTACTCCAAGTCGCCAACATAGCCTGAATGTTAGTTAAACAAGCAAACTAGAAGATCAGAAGGAATGAAAGTGCAAAAATTTAGCTTGGTTTTAAGAGGGCAGAACTAACCGTCATCATCTGACGGTTGTAATCATCGTTTGCCTTCACTCGTTTCAAGTACTCCCGCACCTCGAGATTCCTATGCTCGACAAACTCCTTATATGCCTACATAATTTAGATTGTTTCTAAGTGAGCAATGCTGAAAATAAACTGAGAATGCTAGATAGAAAAAGATAAAGAGGAAGTACTTACATCATGCTGGCGGGCTAAAGGAGTCTGTGAACGCCCCGTACTCTCTAACTGGCTCGGGTTGCTAGCCCGAAGCTGTGTGTACGAGATCGAAGGAGTGATCAAGCCGTCGAAACACGGATACCGGCCATTCTTCTTCCCCTGGATGGCCACCACCGCCGTGTCGTCGATCTGAGACTGGGCGACCTCGGCAACAGGAACATCCGGATGCAACTCCTGATAGTGATGAATGTAAGACCCCAGGTGCTCCTCGGTCTTGCCGTAGTACTGGTTCTCGCCCTCCTTGCGACGACTCCGCTCGCGGGCCAGCTTCCACGACTCCATGTCTGAGAGCGGCCTCTTCAACTTGTCCTCCTACAACGTCAAATAGAAGTTAGCCATACATAAGAACATGACGGTAAAGAAGAACAAAAATGCATCATGCACATAGATATACCTTCATGGCCTTGAAGCTCCAGTGGTTCCTGTTTCCTTGGCTGTGTGTCCCGTCGGCTCCACGGTTAGCCCGGCCCTTGATGCTCTTGGCAGCAAACTCTGCATCGGCGCCGAGCCACCTATCCACCAAACTCGCCCATCCGTCATGCCTTCCATAGCACCAACGAGGAACAACCTATGCAAATTTTGGAAGCATGACATGTGAGCACGAAACATAGAGTTGACTGCTTGAAACAATGAAAAGTTAGTAATAGTTACCATCATGAACTGCTCCCTGTTCAAGGTAAGTCGCTGCTTCTGCGCTTGACTTTTGGTCATCTTTTGGTGCAGGTAGTAGTGGTAGTACCGCGAGACGGCAACCCAGCGCACCTCGTACTGCAACTGACGAGCTTTCTTCTTCGCAGCCGCAAGCAAGACCACGTCGGCTCTGGCCTTGTGCTCGTCAAGAACTCTATAGAGTTGCTGCATAAACCAGAAGCAAACAAGGCATGAGTTGAGTGATCCAATGATAAACTATGAACGAAACTGAAGACAAGTGATTCAAAAGAGAACTTACCCAAAATTTGGTGATCACGGCCTTAGCGGCCGTCCCGTACTCCGCGTTGCTACAAGCCTCATAGTGGGCCCAGCTCGTGGCCAAAACCCGCAGCTGCGGGTCCCTGCCTGGCCACGGGCAGAATAGGCCAGGCCAAAAGTGCTTCAACAGGACAGTGATAAGGCCGTTCGGTTTACGGCCATTTCCGCGAAGGATCCAGTTTCTGCAAAAGAATCAAATGATTGCCATGTGTACAATAAGAAAATATTGTCATGTGTTGAAAATATGATTGAGAGGCACTTACTCTGTCCTCACAGGTTCAATGAGCCACTTGTGCTCCTCGATAGAAGGTGGTGTAGGTAGTCCGGCATTACCACGCAGCCACCCCTGCGGAGCACCCGGTGGCAAGTCACCCCACAACTCGGGATCAACCTCCCCTCCACCCTCCTCGCCCTCCTCCTCACCCTCCTCCTCGGCCTCCTCCTCCTCACCCTCCTCCTCGGCCTCCTCCTCCTCGCCATCAGGAACATACTCCTCCTCCTCAGACTCAGAAGGTGCCTCTGTATGGGAGGGCATCGAAGAAGACCCTCCTATTTCGGACACGGCCCGGAGTTTTTTGCCCCGGCTGCCTCTCCCCCACCTCCTCCTCCTCTAGGGGCTCTCCCCCCACCGCCTCCTCCTCTAGGGTATCCTCCCCCGACCCCTCCACCTCCCTGTGAGGTGTCATCCTCGCGTAGTCGGGAGGGAACCTTGTGGGCTCGTCCACTCCGAGTAAGTCCTTTAAATTTATTGAGGAAACTGGCACCGCTGGACTTGCCCATGATTAGCAAACTTGCATTGAGAAGAGAATAAACAATTAGTAAGGATATCAATTAAACAAGCATACAGGAAAAACATTAATACCAGAAGAGCACATTAAGCATACTATTTTAATGATCATTAAAAGAACTTACATTTTCTAGAACCCATATGAATCATCACTATTGTAATCTATTTGTGGAGTGGTCTCATCATCACTATCACGCATATCTTCTTCGTTGTCTGACGGAGGTGGAGGCTCTTCCTCATCGTCAGCGTCTTCATTTAACTTTTCAAGCATAATTATGTCTCTTTGATTCACAACTGCCTCACCATCAATCCGTGCGTCGTCGTTGTTTGGGTCCAGGTCAACATAACCCAAGTCATCATCCTCGTTGTTTCGGACCACGTCATCACGTTCCTCTTGATAGAACAGTCCCTCGTATGTCATGGGGTTTATGTTGTAGTAATCATCATCGTTCGGGTCCGGTAGCTTACCATGCGGCGACACCTTGAACACAACTTCCCAACCCTTTAGGTACTCTTTCTGGCATGGGTAAGGTAGATAATATACTTGTGTGGCCTGGGTAGCGGCGATAAAGAGATCAGCTCCGACATAGACGGTTGATGGTTTAACTTCAACTAAACCAACAGAAGGCGTATGTCTCAGGCCCTTTTTGGGGTCGAACCATCGGCATTTGAACACAGTGAGACTTAGGTGTTCGCGGCCAAGTTTGAATGTAAGCTCGTATATTTTTCCTACCCTTCCGTAGTAATCTATTTTATTATCTCCTTCAGTGAAGACTCCGGTATTTATGGTTTTGGGATCAGGCCGACTGTTCTGGTGCTCCTCTGTATGGAAGCGATACCCATTCACATCATACTTTTCGCATGTCATGACGACAGGGTCAAAACCCATGGAAACCCATCTCAATTCTTCATCCATTGATTCGGTCGGATCATTTCCCTACAAGTTCAATTGAAATTATAGGGTGCATGAGTTTAATTGAAATTATAGGGTGCATGAGTTTAATTGAAAGTGTGAAAAATTACTTTCTCCATGAACCACGCAACGAAATTTTTCCTTCCATCAGCACCCTTTCGGAGAAGAGCAAGTGCCTCCGCTTCAGTAGGAGGCAGCATTCCTGTCCATTCTTCTTCAACGAATCGACTACAATAAGAAAAGCGGTATAAGAACTAGGCAAAGTGAACATAACGAATTGACTAAAAGAATGGTGCAAAGGTATTACCTCATCCACTCATCCTCAACTTCCTTGATGTTGTGCAAGATATAGAACATGACATCCTCCCACTCATCTCGTGGCATGACATAAGATGTCGAGCATCCAGCCCTGCCACCTTGCCCGGTGAATAGAGGCAACTTGGGTTTATACTTGGGTTCTTCTGTATTGTATCGAGACACCTTATTGTGCAACGTGGGAACATGGTCCGGATAGTAGGCTGTCCTGAGGTCTGCCAC